AGGTAAAATCAAAAAGATGAGTCAGACTAATGCAGTTATTCCATCAAGAGTTTAGATCTGTGTTATCACATTCACAGCTTAAATGAGGAGAAGTTTATTTGGGTCACAATTTCCACTGGGCTCAATCCAGGGTTACCTGGCTCCAAGATAAAAACAGCATGGTGAAGCACAGCTGCTCATCCCATGGCAAACAGGAAACAGAGAAAGGGGAGGAGGTCGGATAGGAACATACCCCTCCAGATCACGCCCCCAGTGACCAATTCCAACCAAGCCCCACCTGCCAATAGAACATCCAGCTATGCCTCCATGATCCAATCGCATTTCCATGGCTCCCCTTCAGAATACATGATACTTTGAGGAACATTTTATATCTAAACAATAGCATTCTTTTCCCAATCCCAAAGGCTCATATTCATCTCATTATGCAAAATGTATTTAATCCAATTCTAAGAGTCACCAACCTTTTAACATTTCCAGATTGCTGAAAAGTCCCAATCTAAAATCATCTCTAGACTCAAAGCAAACCCTTAGCTATGAGCCTTTATAAAAATCAAAAATAAAGTTAAGTACTTGCAACATAGAACAGTACAGGAAAGATATTCCATTTCGAAAAGAAAGAATGGGAGTATAGAAAAAACTGGACTAAAGTAAGACCAAACCCAAGCAAGACAAACACTTGATCCCTTAGCTTCCTGTCCCCAGACACAGGGCACAAGGTGGTGAGATGTGAGTCCGGAAGGCTTGGGCACCCCCGCCCTTGTGCCCTTGTTTACCATCCGCATGACCTCACTCTTGGGCTGGTTCCACTCACTGCCTGAGCTTTTCCTCAGGAGACATTCCAGATGCCTGCCATCTCCAGCTTTGGGGGTGTCCACTGCACCTTCAGCTTCACCTCCCAGCTGCACACATTGTCCTCTCTGAGGAATAGTGCCTGGCCTCCCAGCCCTTTGAATTCTGGGTGGAAGCCACCACAACACTTGCATTCAGCACACCTGTAAAACCAGCAACAAGTAGATGATGGCAAGGTGTGTCATCAACTCAAGCTTTAGCCCAGGTCCCTTGGCTACAGATCCATCTGAGTATTTCCATGGCTCAGCATAGTGAGATGAGTCCCAGGGATCCAGTTCCCTAGGTGGCCCTTCCTGAGCTGAGTACAATGGGCTCTCTTCTCAAATGAAGTTGACACTTTTGCAACTATGAGCCTGTGACAGGTAGGGTTTTATTGATGCCTAAAATGCCTTCAAACCATCTTTATTATTATTCCAAAGCAAAATGCTTGGCTTCTTTTTAGTGCTAATCTTTTTAGCAACCACAGCCTCTTTTTCTCCAGCTTTACAGGCATTTTCTTTTGTGGGCAAGCTTCCTCTCTTTTAGCTCTGCTTTTTGCTTCACATTCTCACTATAAATCTGGCTAAATCCAGCTACCAATTACTATGCTACAACTTGAACATTGGGCTACCTTTAAATTTTTTTGCCATATTAATTAGCCCACCACCACCAAATAAGGCCTCACACAAATTCATAGGACATGGAAAAATATAGCCAAATTCTTTACCAGGATGAAATATGCATAGCCTCTATCCAGTTTACAGTACAACCTTTGTTCCCAACCAAAACCTCCAGGGTCTGGCCTTGATATTTCTCATTCCATCAGCACTCTGGTCTTAAGCTCCACCAACATTATCCACCAAACTGAGTCTCTCCAGCCTGCTCACCCAGACTCTTCTTGCAAGCAAGTTCTGAAGGCTTTTGTGCTACATGCTCAGTTACAATCATAGTAATGACACCAGCTCTCTGATACCAATCCCAGTTCTCTGGCACCAATTTTTTTACACCTACAGATTATAAAAGGAAAACTTTATTTGGCTCACAGTTTCCAGTGATTTCAGTCCAACATGAGCTGGATCTGAGGCAGAAACAGCCTAGTAGAAGGGCTCGGTGGGAAGGAGATGATCAACCCATAGTGACAAAGAGGCAGAGAGCAAAGGGGATGTCTGGCAATGAGAATAAACCCTTCAGGTCACGAGCCACCTCTGACCAGCTGCTCTATCCTGAGAACACTCAGCTACACTACTGTCATCCAGTCACCTTTTGAAAGTCCCACCTGCAATCACAAGAGACTTTTGGGGCCACGTTATCTCTAAACTGTAACAAGACCAGAGCAGTAGTAAAAAGTGTGGTAGAAGTGAGCAGATGTGAAATGTCACTTTCTAGGATTTTGGGTTCCTCTGAGTGTTAGGTGGGTAAGGAAGAGAGGAAATAGAGATTATTGAAAACATCTGTGCTGAACCGTTGAAAGTGTAGCGTTATAATCCATCAGAAGAAGAAGGCTGAGCGAAGCACCGGCTCTGCTGAGATGAGCAATTCCACTTTGGCCAGCTGATTTCAAGAGAGCCATTAGACATTCAAGGGAAGAAATTGAAAGGACAGTGGAATTCACAGACCCATGATGACTAGTTATGCATTCCTAACATATGGATGGGTCTCTAAAGCCAGGAGACTAGAAGAAATTGCAAGGGAGTGTAGAGAATAAGTCAAAAGAACAGACTGGTCCTTTAGCAAACCAGAGTAAGATACAAATCATCAAATGTTAGGCAAAGAGCCTGGTGTGACGGTGTGTGCTTGTAACCCCAGCTACTCAGGAGGCTGAGGCAGAAGGATCACAAGTTAAGGCCAGCCCAGGAAACTTAGCAAGACTTGTCTCAACATAAAATAAAAATTTAAGAAAAGTTAAGGGGTATAACTTGGTGGTAGTGAGTGCTTGCCTATCATGTGCAGAGCGCTGGGCTCAATCTCCATTTCCCACTCCCAAAAAAGTTGAGAATGGTGAGCATTGAAATAGGAGAAAATTCAAATCAATATGCTGTATGTTGAGGGGAAATGTGCGTGAAGTAAGAGAGAGTGACTCAAGTACTGATAGGCAAGGTAAGAGGACAGGGCATTGCCAATTACGTGTATTGGAGTACGTCGTTTGTGGTTTGGAGAAGAGAAATCTCTGACATAGTGGAAGATGAAACCTTCAAAAATCTCAGCTTAACTCACATAGGACTGAAACTCCCCCAGCCTCTTTCATGTCATGATTTTGTGTTGTTTCGTGGTAGTAGTAGTTGTTGTCATTAGCCTGCTGGAGCTACTCAGTCTTCAGAATATCTACTAATATGTACCTTTTTGTCTTCTGATATAGTGGTGATGACCACCAGACAAGACAGCCAATAGGTGGTATTTCTAGTTTCATTACTTCCCTTCCTAGAACATTATCTCTTCGCCTTCTTTGTATTTGTTAATAGGCACTTAGAAGGGTGATGACAATGAAACGCACTTGACTGTATGGATAGCTCACAGCACGTATTCAATAAGTGACATCTATCTTTGTAATCATTGTTACCATGTGACCACAAGTCCCGGGTGTGTCTCCTAGTGTGGGCTGCTTGGATTTGCTGTGGTATTCAATAAAACATCCCTGGAAATCTCATAACATTTCCATTCATTGAAAGAAAGACTTGTAACACCTTTCTGTCTTTGATCCTGGGAGCCTCAAGTACTGTGAGTCACACAGTTAAACCTCTTCTTTCTGAATAGGAGAGGTCCCTAAAGCCTCTGCTATGACCTAACCTTGAGGATGCCCACCTTGCAGATATCCTTTCTGAAGCTCCACCTCAACGACTCCCTGGTTTCTTTGCCCTTGGACACCAGCTCGCTCTGGTTCCCTCTTCTTTTCCCTGGAGCTGTATGTGTGTCCCAGTCGGGCTCCCTCCACAGTAGTCTGAATTTCTTTTGTCTAAAGTTATCTATTAACTCTCCAGATGTTAGGAATTTTTAAATTTAAAAAATATCTGTATGGGAAACATGGAGTGGAGTTGGGACAGATACACAAATAGTTTGAGGGAAAGTAAAGGAAGACAGGGAGATAATAGCCAAGAACAGTGGTCCAGAGGCAGGCAAAACTGGACTCAATTCCTGGTCCTTCTGTAATCTTCAGCAATATACTGGAAAAGTCTCTTAAGGAAACCATGAGGGAAATTTGTTCATTAGTAAGGCTGGTTTTATTAGTTACTTAGAACAAGAAAAACAGGTTCTCTGTACTTGCAGTAGTGTTTTAAAAGGGTGAATGAAGTTAGTGAAGAGCTTTCAAAGAGCTCTAGGACCTGAGATGACTGATTTTAAGGGAAGTCTATCTCACAAGGCAGAAATCTGATTAAATATTGCTCAATCTATGGAAACTACCCTGGACCGTTAGGTGCAACATACAAAGGATGTCATGTAGGTTTGACAAGCAAGATATGAGCAGTGATATGTAAGACACGCCAGTTGGTGTGAAGTCCTAAGTCCTAGGAGCAAGTATTTCCTGAAGAAGCAACTCGGGAATTGGGTTTCAGCACTGTTGAGCCTAAATTTAGGAAAGTGATGTGTCATCTGAATATTTAGTAGAGGAATCAGGGTGGTTTCATTTTATGGTACACATGTTCCTATGGTCTCAGAGTCTTGATCTTTGAAGTGTAAATTGCAAGTAGTTAAACAACATAACATATAGGGTGTGCTTACTTATCCACAAAGTGTAGGAAATACATCTGATAGCTGATAATATTTCATGGGTCCTTATTGAGCAGATTCTACACATATTGATGCTGGTATCAGTGAACCCCAGTTTCAAATTCTGGAGCATCCCTTGTTAGTCTGTCTCCAGGGGTATTTTGCAGATGTCATTAATTATCTTTTCATAAGTGACCATAGAAATACATAAAATGGGGCCAGGCATTGTGGCACACACCTGTAATCTCAGCACTCAGGAAGCTGAGGCAGGAGGATCGTGAGTGTGAAGACAGCTTGGTCTACAACACAAATTCAATCCTGGGTTGGACTACATAGCAAGACCCCGTCTCAACAAAGCAACAACAACAGGAAAAGACAAAAACCACATTTTTATGTTGACTTACTAGTGACTATAACCCAAATCTGTGCTTGTGTAACTATACACTTAATATTCATTGCTTTATTTTCAGAATGACATGAATTACATAGCATCCAGTGGGCTTCTGTTCAAAGATGGCAAAAAGAGAATTGATTACATCTTGGTCTATAGAAAGACAAACATACAGTATGACAAGAGAAATACATTTGAGAAGAACCTCAGAGCAGAAGGGTTGATGTTGGAGAAGGAGGTAGGTGCTTTGCCATTTTTAGTATGCGGTGTAATACCCTGGAATGAAATGATCACATGCTTTAGGATTGAAAGTGCATACCACATGGCATTACACAATATATAGTTATTCTCTCCAACTGTACAATGAATGAATGTATGGCCCCATTTAAACAGAAGTATATCCACTTTTTACTTTATCTGTTTGTGTTCAATTGAAATATTTTCCAAGGGCATGGCTATGTCTACAATTTTAAAAACTGACTAATGACTATACCTCTGTAAAGTAAGTTTTTAAAAAAGCCTATGAAAGGAAAACTAAAATGTGGAAAGAACAGTGTTTGCCAAACTGCTTAATGTATGTGTTTTATTTCTGGAACTATAAATACGTTCCTCTCAAGCCTTCTTCTGTTGTGCTTAAGAAAATTTCTTTAAAGGATTTATTTTCTTTCTAGTGAAAGTATCAAAGACACTAGTAAAAAACAGAAAAGAGGAAAAAAAGCATATCCTTATAGTTCTATAACTACCTAAAACTTATTGTGATTGTTATCTTAAACTTTCTGTGGCTTTAAAAATCATACACTTATTTATATTAGAGAAAGGAAAAACCTTAATGTAAAAGAGTAACATAAAAGTGTGCAAAATACAGGTAAGCATGTGTGTCCCCATCTTCCATTCTATACCCTGCTCTCCTTTGGTGGCCTTGTGAAGAGCTATATTTTTTTCCTAATAGGAAAATACAAATTTTTATGCAAAATTAATGAAATTTATGACACACACTTTCCTACTACTCAGTTATATTGTGTAGTAATATCTTAGGAATATCTTACATTCCCACTACCTTTAAAATCAACTCAATGTTTTTGTTTTGTTTTGTGCATAATATTGCAGCTTGGGGTTTAGTCAGCCATCCTCTTGAGAGAAAAAAATATAAATTAAATACTAGAGAGATGTTTAAATTAGTATCTCTGGGATTTAACTAGCTTTCTTTAAAAACTAAGCATAAGGAGGCAGAAAAGCCTGATGATTTCTTTAATTAAATATCCAGATAATTTTCTAATAAGATGCAATTAGATGTAACTATAGAGCTCTTCTCCCAACTTCTCTGTAATCACAGAAATACCCTGGCAGTGTTTTCCTCCCTGAGGAACACATGTCAGAAAGTACTGATCTCTAGCTTGAGGTGGACCTGGAGAAACTCATCTATTTATATTTATTAGAAGCCCCTTTAATCGGTACAAAATAACAAACATACCACGACTTCACTCTGGGCGGAAGGAATTACCCACGCGCTGCCCCATGTTACAGAGAAGGACAAGGGAAATTCTGACTTTTGCTTTCTGTTGACTGCTTTAGTTGTGTCTCTTCTATGCCTCCTCTGGGAAGTGTAACCCGCAGTGCCCCTGTCACTGTTAACTAATTAAACCAAGAAGTGTTTACTGAGAAAACATCTCCTGAGCTCTGTCTTGTGACAGAGTTTTGTTCTTCAGATTTCCTTGTGATTTCTCCTCCACACTCCCAGAGCAGTTTATCCGTAGATCCTGATACTGCCTAATGCTTATTTTGCTCAGATATCTTCAACTATTGTTCATTCAACACATACTTCTGGGAGGCACCGAGACAGCTCCGGGGACCCCAGTGAGTGAAGCAGGCCGCGTCACTGCCTGCTCTGTAGCAGAGGTGCCCAGCACCTGATTGTGTGTCTGGACACACGTGGTCCAAGCTGCCACCTAGTTTTCTTGGCAGAAAGTCTAGTTCTCTTCCGAGGCTTCCTCTCCCTTGCTCCTCGAAACTGTTCCCAAGAATAACGTTGAGTGCTACTCATGTGGAAAGTTTTGTTGTGTTTATAAGCGGAGGTCCGTGCATTCCTGGGGCTGCACTCAAATACTGCCCAAGGCGTTTTTGTTTAGGTTGGCCCTCCCAGAGCAGTGCCCATTTCTCCCTTGTTCCTGGACACAGAGGTTTCTCATTCCACTGTCATTTCTCATTCCACCAGTCCTTGCCTTCACACTCACTTTCTTGGGACCCGTTCCCAGGTTCAGGGAAGTGCTGGAAAGCCGGGTCAGGAGTGAATCCACTCTCAGCTACGTATCCGACTGGGGCCAAACACTTACAAACTGTATCATTGTGTCAGGCGTTAAGTTCTAGGTGGGCTTCATGTCTCCCTGTTAAGGTAGATGACTTCCCTTCAAGGTGGTAAATGGTTAAGAATAGCCCCATTTCTCTGGATTCATGTGGATTGTTAATTTTGAAGATGAATCGGTCCATTTGTATATCTTCCTTCTGAACAGACGCTACAGTCTTGTAAGAAACTATACCTCACTGCAAATTAAAAAGTAAAGAGAGAGGGAAAGAGAGAGAGAGAGAGTTGCTGCACCCTCTCCATCTAACACTCGAGTAACTAAGGCATCATTTCAGTGAGTTTGCACAATGATGACCATCCCATTCAGAATGACTTTGCATTTCTGCATAGTGGTAAAATGTTCACATTTCTTCGGTATTAGGATATTCTTTATAATTTGAAACTCTGGTCAGTGACCTAGAAGAAAACTAAGTGAGGCTGGAAGGCCTTGTGACAGGGGCAGTGATCTGACCTGGATGATGAGAGATCAGAAGAATCTGAAGCAGTCCAATGTACAAAGCAGACTTTGACATGAGATTCGGCAAATGGGAAGCACTAAAGCGCATCACTAAAGGGGCGGGATGTGGTTTTTACGAGTCTCTCACTGAACCATAGAATCATGGGGTGAACTGCTGCTGTTGTGCCTGGAGACAGCCTAAAGCGAGTGAATGTTGGGTGGACATGAAGGGAAGCATGATGGTTTTTGTTTTGTTTTGTAACACCAGGAAAAAAAGTACAGTATGAGGTTGGAAAGAATAGCTAGGGTTAACTCGTCTGTTTTGTACTTAAGATTTTTGATCATCATACTGGAACAAATGGCAAGCTGTTGGAACATTTTAATCATGATAGTGCTATGATCACAAATGTTTTCCAAAAAAGATAATTCAGGTTTCTAGAAAAGATCTTGAATTCGAGTCATGACTAGGCGCAGAAAGCTCACAGGTGCTATTAAATATGAACACTAAAGAATGGATTTCACCACACTCTGTAGTGGTTTGGGTATTGTAAAAAAAGATCTCAAGGATATTTGGGCTTTGTGTCTTAAGCAATTTATTGTTGTCATTCAAGGAGCTTTAATGTAGCCTCTATTACATACTTTATTCTGGGAACAAATAGAAATCAACAGAAAAATGGGCCATATTCTCTACAACCCAAACCTGACTCCAAACCTTTACCTTTCACAGCCTTTTAGACATTGGGGCTGGGGGGAAGCCAGAAGTCCATGGTCCACATCTGGTGAGTGTGGTAGATGAAGCCACTCCCTAGTGTTTTTATGAGCTGCCTTTCCACTGGAGGGCACTTGGCAGCAGTGTCCACTCTCTACTGCATGACACTTTGTACAGGCACTCCTGAATGGGGACTTCCAGAGCTGCTTCAGAAAGCGGAACCCATGGGCTGGGGATGTAGCTCAGTGGTGCTGCTACCTGCCTCTCAAGCACAAGGTCTTGAGTTTGATCCCCAGTACCAAAAAAAAAAGAAAGTGAAACCCAAAATTTAAACACCAAAATTACGTATCTTTCTTCAAACACAGCTAATGTGTTTAACCTTGGATACATTCAAATAACTGGATATTTGTGATGACAGGTATGTGTATCTCTGGCATTGTCGATTATAATTTCCATAATCTTTTACTTTTAATTTGAAATAAACATACCCCCAGAAAGGAAAATCTTTATGTTAATATAGACATAAAAACATCTTACTAGGCCGGGAATTTAGCTCTGTGGTTCTGGCGCCTGCCACGCAAGCACAAGGTCCCGAATTCGATCTCCAGTACCAAAAACAAACAAGCAAACAAAAAAATTTTTACTAATTTTACCACAGTGATTGGCAAAATACTGGTAGCTCAGTACATTAAGAAAAACAACTGAAGATCCAAAATTTGGATATTCCACATACTTTATTATCTGCTTGGATACTTTCAGCAAGTTCACGCATATCAAAATGTCTCAGAAGTTCATTAGTGAAAAAGGCAAAGTTAACTTGATTATGTGATTGTGGAATTTCCTTTTCTTTTCTTTTTCTTTTTTTCCTTTTCCTTTCCATTCCTTTCCCTTTCCCTTCCTTTTGATTCTTTTTCTTTCTATTCCCTCCTTCCCTCTCTTCTTTCCTTCCTTCCTTCCTTCCTTCCCTCATTCCTTCCTTCCTTTGGCGAATGCTGGTCTATGAACACTCCTTCCCTGGGAGAAGTGGGCTCAGACTCCAGAATGTCTCCTAGCTTTAAATCTTAGTCCAGAGACGTGGTGTAATCATACTCTTTTGATATGTTGGTGCTGCACATTGGAAATGTGCTTGCAAACCTGGAGAAACCCAGATTTACAATGCAGGGCTTTATGAACATATGAATATAAAACTTTTACAGTTTAATCTAAAACATATTTGATTTTAAATAGGACTGATAAATTTCTTCTACATTTTGAACTTGGAGGTATACATTTCTTGAGGAGTTAAATCTAGTTGAAATTTAAATGAGCAACTGCGTTCACACTGAGCTTGGCTGTGTGTGACCTCGTAGGTGTGTCTTGGAGAAAGCAAAAAGCACTAGTGTTGTCCCAGGTGTTCACAGGAAGTGTAAACGTTGTGGAACTTGATACTAGAATGGTCTACAAACTCATTTCCCATTCTATGGGCCTCAGACATTAAACTATCTAATTGGTAGATTATGTACATGAGCCACACGGAAGGCCGAATGAGTCAGTTATTTAGCTACTTGTTTAGTCCACAAAATCAAATCTAAGAATCTATATGGTTATCTGCTTCAGAATAGCAAGAATCTGACTCTTACATTAGTGGAATAATTAAAATACTTATGTCCAGTGGAACTGCATTCTGGATTTCTAAGAATTACACCTGAGTATCTCATTTATTTAAAAAGCTCCTTTGATGATTTTGATGCTCATTTGACTCTCCTTAAAATTTTCTTGTCTAGACAACGCCTTTAAGTTTTTATGTCTTCATACAGGTAGTGACAGAATAAACAGTTAGAGTCAGCATGCAGCTCTCTCAGCTCTGTGAGGTCATGCATTACTGTGATGTTTATCCTTTATTTTTCCAGGATTATCATAGGACCTAATAAGTACCTTGAGGACTTAGCAGTTGTATAATGAAATGTGGTAGGAAAATAAAGTAATTAGGGAACAGCTGATAACAATTGGCAGTGTTTTCTAACCTCTCTGAAGTAATAAGAGCATTGTGATATAGTGTCTGTCAAGAATATCTTGAAATTCTTCATTTGTTTATAATTGTGCCGATTGGGGAATCTTGATTTTCATGATGATCAATATAAGAAAATTCACAAAGGTGGCTATTGTAAGTATAGAATGATGATAGTGGCCAGGCAAAGACTCTCTGCCCAAGGGGCATAGAAACTAGTACAATGGCACCAGGCTTGTGCAAAAAGAAAGAGCTTTCATTGAGCGTTGGCCATCAAGGAGACAGGAGGTAAACTCCCCTCTGCCCTCTAAACTGAGTAGCAGCCAGGGGAATTGACAGGAGGGGTGGTAGAAGATACCTGCTGAGCTGCAGAATGAGAGGGAAAGGTTTCTAGGTTCCTTTCCACCAGTGGGGTGGTCATCGTCCCCTCCCTGGCTCGTGTTTCTCTTCGGGATGTCCTTGTGCTCTGCTGGGGGATTTGGAGCCCTTGCAAGGCCAGTTTCAAGCCACCGTTGAGTCAATCCTGGAGGCTTTGCTGAGAAACAACTTAGAAACTCTTTGTTATCAAAGGAATTTGTGTCTGCGTGTGTCCAGAAATTACCAGTTTCAATTTCATTGTTATGTTTTTATTGTAGTTTTTCTTTATTAAGAATCATATAGCTTTAAAACAGTAAAAACTGACTCACACAAAGCCAAGGAGGCAATGCTGCTTCCTCCCAAATCAATGGTTGCGGGACTTCATCAGTTCTGATTGCCAAGAATGAATCCTGACCTTCTATCCTTTGCAGCCGGCTATTGCAAACCCTGACATTATGTTTATTAAAATCCACATTCCGTGGGACACGCTGTGCAAGTATGCAGAGAGGCTGAACATCCGGATGCCTTTCAGGTACTTGTCGATTTTATTTGATTCTCTCTTGGGGGCACTGAGGTGAGTCTGCTGTTTCGCAACCCATGACAGCCCTTTCTACAGAGAAAATGCTTTTTCTTCCACAACACAGGACATTCTGGGTGGCTTTTTTCTCTCTAGCTTGTTTGCCTAGTATGCTGAGCTTTCTGCTTCTCCAGATACTTTATATCATTTTAATGTGGATTTTCTTAGAAAGAGGGTAAAACAGTTATTCTCAAATTTCCCTTTTAACATTCCCCCAAGAACAATCTCACTTTTTTATTTCATATGGATTGCTATAATTTTTTGTTATTTGTATGGAAGCAGGAGATAAATTTTTCAGGTCATTTCGGCAGCATGGTTTCCTAGCTGGGTCCTTGGTACCAGTGAATAAGTGTAAGGAGAAGATTGTTCCTCTTCAAGATTTTCAGCCCTTCCTCTAGCTAAGCACAGATTGAAAAGCCATCATTCCCCAAGCTAGATTGTCTGCTTTTATCTGTAAAATGTATCACATTCCTCCATCATGTCTCAAAATAAAATCCAACAGTTCTCTACTATATGCAAAAAGTGAGCGCACATCAAAGTTAGAAACATTTACTCTGAAGTGGAGTTCAACACACTTAGTCAGCTGCTTGGTTGAAAAAGGTTCTGATCAAAGGAGATTGCCAGCAAAGAGCTTGATGAAGAGAATGAACCCTAAAAGTGAGATTCACGTGGAAAGCATCTTTCACTGTGTAGCTTGAAGGATCCCAACTCAGGCAGGCGTGGTGACAACCTCAAGACTTATGATAAGCTTCAACATTATTTGAGATAAAATATGAGCTATTGACTTCGTCATGTTAGATAGTTGAAACATTTCAGGCTTTGAAAGATGCAAACAGCTACATTTGTTTCAGAGAAGTGAGACACTGATTAAACATTCACAACTACCGCAGACTCTGGCTAGCAACATGAGCCTCAACGATGAAAAGGAGCTCACATCTATGAGCTAAGACTTTAAAAAAGTTTTATAGAGCATTTAAAAGATAAGCAAATATTTCACAAGTGTTGGCAAAAATGCAAAGTAGAAAGAGGAAAAATAAGGCCTTTCAGTTCCTCAGCATCTTATACAAACCATCAGCATGCTTCTTAGGAGACTCAGGGGTGTGTATGTTTTTATGAAACTTGGACCCTGAAAGTACCAGAAAGACTGCAAGATCCTGTCCTGTGATTGGCTGTGCACTGTTCAGGTGATGGCACTGAGCTCATCTGGAGCTCAACTTGGAAAGAGTGTCTGTATTTGTGCCAGATGACATTTCTTGACTTCTGGATTTCTTTTTCTTTTAAAAAATCTCTTGAAATATATGACTAGAAATACTTTATGTTGATAGTGAGGCACAAGTTCATGCCACACAATGGCATGCAGAAAAAAGACAAAGAGATAAATTGCAACTTACTGAAGATGCTCACAGAGAAAGCCAGCAGAGTGTGAGAAATAACTACCCTGTTACTCAGAGTGGGAGTTGTACTTCTGAATCTCCATTTGAAAATATTTTCTAATAGTTTTAAAATTTTCTGCAGCTTCTGCTTTCTGTATTATGAATATAGTTTTCAAATATATAAAAATGTTTGCTGAACTTTAATTTATAATTGTGGAGAATATAAATATCTTTTATATTGAACAATAGAAGATTTAAGAAAATTAGAATATACAATTTTAGAAAATTAGAATATACAACAATTTATAATTATTATCATTCATTTATAGTGAATGGGCTATAAAGATTTTTCAGTGATTGTTAGGAAATAGCAAATATTAAAAGTAAAATGTAAAGAGTATTTATTCAGTGTGACTTCAGTCATGTAAAATGTGTAGCAATAGGATTGAAAATATATTAAAAAGGTTATTTCTAATGGGTAAGGTAATGTGTCCCTTGTATTTTGTTTATATCTCTACAAAATTATTTATTTTCCAGAATCCATTGCAATCAGTAACGTGTTAGCTTTACCAAAAATATTTGACTTTTATAATTTAAAATATTCTTTTTCTTTCCTTTGTACTGGGGATTGAGCTCAAAATTACTCTAGATTGATTGCCTGATGTCAAGACAAGACGAAAAGACATACAACACCCAAGAAAATGTCATGTTTTCTGATACTGAGACAAAACTGCTGAAAAAAAAATTTCCAAATTGTTCTTGATCGATTCCAAGCACCTTTATCCTGCTGCAGTTTCCATGATCAGCATTGTTCGTGAAAATTTTGACTAAATTTATGTACAGATTAATATTTTAAGGCTAGCGAAGAAGAAAGCTCAAAACAGCTGTCCGTCTCATGCTACTTCCGTGGGTGTCAGTATCGAGGTCCAGTTCAGGCTGAGTTAATCTAGTGTTAAACATGTGCCTCCAGTGCCCTCTGGACTTGATGCAAAGAGGTGTTTGCCAGGGTGCAAAGGTTGTGCGAGCAGAGCCTGGGAAGGGTGTAACTTCGATCCTGGCTCAGGAGCCTCTTGCTAAGATGCAGCTCTACTTTTCATGCCACAGAACAGTAAATGATCAATATAACTTCAGTATATGATCCATTTGGGCAACTGTAACAAACTGCCAGGTGGATGTTTAAGAAGCATTGTTTCTGACTGTTTTGGGGACTGGAAGTCCACGGCCAGGCTGCCAGTGAGGCCGGGTTCCGCCAAAGGCACCTTTGGTTTGCACCCTCACTTGGGAGCAGAAGCGCTAGCTGGCTCCTGACTTCTCCTTTTAGGGACACAAATTCCACTGTGAGGGCTCCACCTCATGATCTAACTTCCTCCCAAATGCCCTAATACTATTAGATACCAAGGCTTCAACATACAAGTTTTGAAGGGACGCAGACATTTCATCCATTCCAATCAGTAACGTATGTTTGCTTTACTCAAAATATTTGACTTCCATAATTTAAGTTTCTTTTTTTTTCCTTTTGTATTGGGAATTAAACTCCAGCCCCTCACAGTGGGCTACATTCCCAGTTCTCTTCTTTTTTATTTTTATTTTGAGACAGGGTCTCACTAAGTCAATAAGCTCTCCAGGCTGGGCTGGAATTTGCAGTCCTCCTGCCTCGGCCTCCCAGAATCCTGGGATTATAGGTGCGTGCCACCAGCCTGGTTATTTCTTTCTTTATCAGTCTGTGTGGGGTGTATAAAGACAATGGCCACAAAGTCTATAACAGCATATTTTCCATATTGCTCTTTCCATTGATCAGCTTGCTTGCTTTCCCATTCCTTACTGCTGCTACTTTTAATAGATTTCAAGGAATGTGGTGGTGAGATAATTAGTATGCTCATAAAGCCTTCAAAAATTATCACACTTAATCCTTTGGTTGGCTAGAAAGCATTTGTTACATATGACCAGATTACTGTGATAAAACTATCACACATGGGGAAAAAAAGTAGGTTAAAAACAGTTCCCTGGGCCAGATTGTGAGAGCCCTGGCTTTGATTTGCTCAGAGCTTCTGTCTTTGGGCTGAACACCACAGTGTTCTTCAGCCCCAGGGGGGCTTTGAAAGAGGATGGTTTCTGCAGTCAGATTTATTTTTTTAAATGGCATTTATTGTTTCACTTCCTAGTAAGACCACATTTGAAAAAAGAATCCTTATATATCCAAGGAGGGAAAAAGAAAAATTATTGAAGTTATGCAGTTATCATCTCTTTTTGTTGATGCTTTGCCTGAAGTTTCTTCTTTATGTTTTTCAAGACACATTAAAAACAGAGAAGAGGTCATGTTTATTGTATTAGTGAGACTTTTAGAAAATGTCACTGAAATCTCTTGATACAATAATACATACATATTAGAAGATTTGCAAGTACACATTTTTTCCCAAGTACATCAAATGCTATTTCCACAGGATCTTGAGACAAATAATCAAATTTGTTCCGGAAGTTTTGATTTAATAACTCACTATAATTACTATAGGAATCTCCAGAGTAATTCTTAGTCTTTACAGCACATTAAAATCCCTAATAAAGCATTAAAAGTAAGAGATCTGGAACCTAAGAGATTTTGGCATATTAAGCCTGTAATTGTGTTGGGTATATGCATTTTTAACAAGTATCCTAAATGATACTGATACTGATGACACATAGTGTCTTGGAGATTATGATATTCTAATATGCCTTACAAGTTCTGTAAATTTCAAAAGGGAGTTATACAATGCAGCCTTTCCCTCATTTCTATCTGATGCCAGTGTTCATGGTAAGGTTTGAAAAATGGTGGAACATGGGGTTGTTTTGGAACATCTTCCTAGACTGGTTTAAATAATCAATGTAGCACTATCTAACTTCTTAGTAACTGACTCCTCATTTATTTATAAATGGGCTTGCAGCCAGCATAGAACAAGAGAATCCTATTGAAGCATAGACTATGAAGCAAAATGTTTCCTTATGGCAAATCTAATCACCAAGTGCCAACTCATCGCATTCAAGAAAACACGTCTAAAAATTAAGATACAAACTTTTCAGTTATTATTCCCTCAGTAATACAGTACAATGACTATTTACATAGCATTGGCATTGCATTAATTATTACAAGTAACCTAGATGTGTTTTAACACATACAGGTGAAGGTCAGTAGCATAGAGAGCCAAATACTACACCTTTTACCGTAAAGGCCTGGAACACCTGTAGGCTTGAATGCGGAGGCGCCTGGAACCAATGTCCCATGGCAAGTGAGAGATAACTGTATTCAAGAACGCAAAGAACTTAAATAGGAAAATGCATGTCTCTTTCTAGAACAAAATTTTTTAAATTTTTTGTATGAAAGTCTTTACCTGGGGATATTATATCCAATAATTTATCTTTGAGACCTGTTACTTTCCCCAAAGAAAACCTGCACATTTACTCAGAAAGCTTTATTAGTTTTACCCTTTTCTACAAATGTTTTCTGCTTCCTTATTGTATGGACTGGAGTCTTCAATATTTTATCTAAATTTTCAGCTTGCCAATATCTGTAAAATGTTGTACTTAACTTTTTGGCCACTGTTTTCTTGACATTTCTTCCAAAATAAATACAAGCTCTCATATGGGAGTTTAATTTCAGAACTAACACAGAGCATGTTGAAGGTCATAGTAGGTCTCACTGTTTCTGTCGTATCTGAGGGAACTTTCCCGTGGCTGCTGCATTCCAGGAAAATCAAGTCCCACCTTTAGCACTTTGCTTTTGATTCAAGGGTGACTGTTACTGATTTTCAGCTCTCTCATACATGAAGAGTTGATGCATTTGAAGATATTTCTGTCATCCAGTACATTCTCAGGTTCTGCTCCTCCATGGGATCAATCTCCCATTTTCTCCTCAAGTTTGTTGTTGTCCCACAAATATTTTAATCATAGGGCTTGATGGTCTAAAACGTTGAGAACAATTTTTATACAAATAAGATTAAACTTAGATTATTTGTTTCTGCAAAGGACTCCTCACTTAAAAACAAAAACAAAACCTGGAGGGCCTCAATCTATGTAAAGGACAGAAGTAGAGTAAATCAGCTTCTGGAGGAGTAGGGCCCTGTGTCACCCACAGCTGGACTCCCCCAGACCGTTCAGTTGTCTCCACAGAGGCCACCAACCTTCTGAAATGGCAGTAAACAATGATTCAGTTAATTATTTACTTCTAATTTTAAGGTGTTGTCACGGTTACATAGCTAGGTCAGTGCAGCCCCAATGTAAAGTATAAAATAGCAGACTCTTAAGAATGGAAAATTAAGGAAAAAGAAAGCTGCTATGGATAGTAGGAGATCAGCTACCAGATGGAGTATTATAGGTCGGAAAGAATTTGGTCCTGGAGGTTCATTTTGCAGGTTCTTGATGGTTAGAAAATAGAGTATGTATTGTGGAGGAATATATAATTTAAACCTCCCCCAAAACAGGAAAACTGTTCCACAAAAATAGAAAAGAAAGAAAATAATCACATTAAACAAATATTAAACGCCATCAAAGGAAGTCACTAGGGATTGAAAAACTGAAAATAATCTCAGTCTTTTATATAACCAATCAGATATACCCCATTGCAAAGGAGTTCTCAAGATCCACAGTAAGGAGCTCTTAAGTAGGAGGCCTAGACAACACCACTTATCACATGCAATTATCTTAAAGTCATCAGGTACCTGGGGTGTTGACTGGCTGCAAACAAAACAAAAATAAAATTGTTCACACCTGTAAGATAGGAGGTACCCTAGGTAGTTTTTACAAGTTGAAGCCAGACTTCCACCAAATGTAGGCTCCCGTCCCGCACAAACTGGGAGAGGGGAGCTTTCTCCATTGAGCTCTGCATTTCAGAGAGATGGCCCTAGATCCTCAGGCAGACCTTCTTCGGAGTATTAAAGCTGATTAGAGCCCTACTAGGTCTTCTAAAGGATTTATATACATTTCAAAGAGAGGAGAAAGTGCTATCAGGAGGAGTCTCCAGGAGTAAACACTCTAAGGAGAGGGAGGGAGGAGAAATGTCTTTCCTTTTTAACAAGGAGAATTTTCTGAACTTTTAGTTACCATTTGCTCTTACAATTGATCTAAAAAGTATGTATATTCATATTGACTTTCTTTTTCTATTTGTGTCTTTTTAAAAATTTCTCCCAAAGCATTTTCAAAACCAAACCAAACAACCTTTAAAATGTTTGAGAAATATTTCAGACCAACAGCAGTCTAGACGGACAACAGTGCTAACTGAGCCCCACCTCCTCCCCTATGCCTTCATAATATTCCTTACCACATCTCCTACTGATGATTAAGACTGTAAGCATTGACTCCCATTACTCCAGCACCTGCATTTCTTTTTTGATGCCAAAAATTATTTAAAACCAATTTCTACATTTATAGATTTTGTTGCTGTTGTTGTTGTTGTGGAAATATTGTTTAATAAATGTTCAGGGCAAAATGCTCTCAGGAATTAAAGGACAAAAATACAGCTCTGAATTAATCCACTATGAGGATGAAAAAAAAAAAAACATTTTGAAGGCAAATTAACCTCTGCCACCAGATGTTTACTTTCCCTCAAACCAGGCATGCTGTGCCCCTCTTAAAATACTCAATCCCCATTGTTTTTCATCCCAAATCCTTAGCATTGGTTCCAGGGCCCCTCAACATAGGTCTCTTGTTCATCATCCAGGGCTTCTCTTTTGCCTGTGCTCAACTTGCAATATATACTTTAGCTATAATCCAATTATTTGCAGTTCCCTCAGTCATATAATTGTCATCCTTAGCCCCTTAACCATCTTAAATTCTGCCACCATATCTAAAAAGCCAGATACAACCATGTTATCTATAAGTTTACTCCCAGCCCTGACTCAAAACTCATACCTGGAACACATCCTCCAGTGGCTTCCCATCTCCTTCCTCCTCTACCCACAAAAATTAATTGAAGTCCCTTTCCTGGGCATTTCAGGAACACATTTTCCCACATCATCATGCTTTGGTTAGTATAGCTGATCACTTGCTATTTCAGTTGCAAAGGAAGGCCCCTGAGGACAGAGATTATCCTTTTTCTCTAAATTTTTAGTGATTATAACCTCCTGTTTTTTTTAGAAAATCAGAAGGATTTTTTACATATATGTTTAGGTAGATGGATGAATGGACAAAAGATTTCATATAACATGGAACCGAATTATCTGGTTAGCAGACAATAACTGGCAGAGTACGTACTTTCAAAAGATAATTAAAATAATATATTCAAAGAGGGCCTGTAGAATTTTAAAGAGTTTTGTTATGAGTAATAGATTCAGAAATTGGAATGATGCATATTAACTGTTCTGATATTATATTCCAAAGCTAACTTCAAGTGTCAAGTTCTTAAGCGTACAGAACTTGGTTCATTGAAATATTCGATATTGCTTAATGCTGTCGATCACTGGTTTCAATGTATTTTTTGTGACTTTCTTTGACTGATTTCTATTTTTTCTTTTTCAGGAAAAAATGCTATTATACTGACGGAAGGAACAAATCAATGGGCAGGTTGGTGGGTGATGTATACTTTCTTTATGATTAATTTGTCACTTGGAAAAAAAGAGACATTTGATTACCCATATCTGCAGTTGTAAATTCTAGGATGAAAATTCTATTGATTTGATCAAGTGATTTCAGGGACTTGTACCAAATGGAATAATGTTTATAATCAGAAATCTCTTTGCTACCACAATGTGTTTACTATACCCATTCCTGCATCCTCCCATGACAGTGCTATGGAAGGAGGAATTTAAATCGCACATTACCATCTTAAGAGATTTTAATGTTTAAAAAATATCTATACAGCCAGGACCAATGGGTACATGATGCAAGCTAGAGTGGTAGAACCACAAACCTAACAAAGACCGGATCAGTCCACCCATTTCGCTTATTTACCCCAAACTCTAGTTTAAGACTAGCATCCTCCACGCTGCAGGCATCACCAAGGTCCCGTGTCTGTTGGTTTTCAGACCTAGCGTTATTCTACAACTCCAAGTTGCCTCTCTTACCTATGTAGTAAGAGCAGTTATGCAAAACAAACTAATTAAACCCCCACTCTAAAAAAGAAGAAATTCTTCCACCTGAGCTACCTTGGGACTGTTTAACTGGGAAAAATGGACTTCCATTTAGTGAATGCTCTAACAAAATATTTCATATTTTTAGCTGTTTTCTTGCTCATTACAAAAGAATCAATTAACAAAGACAAAACAGGAGCATGCGGTATAGTATGCTCCACTGAACGATGTATATAATATTCCGAGTCAGAATGACACTAAAGGGAGAAAAACTACAGAGCCTGGATTTTAGGAACAGACTCAAGAAACTGGGATTTTTTTCACCGAAGGAAATTGCTGAATATAATTTAAAATTTAGAAATCATAATAGGAGAATGTGAACCTCTTTGAAACATTAAATTTATATGTGGTAGGATTTGATGATAAGAAGAGCAAATCATGATAAAAAACCTTGAAATTAGAAAGAGCTTTACAAAAAAGTTCTAAAATGACTTTTTAAAAACTTTAATGATGTTTCTTAGCAAAGTCATTTAATTCTGTCAAGTTAATGCTTTGAATCAGAATGAATTTTCATTATTTCCTATGTGAATTTTTCGTCCTGACCTATGTAATAAAATTTCAGTCATTTTTATATAATAAAATCAGTCATTGGACTATTATAATACAAACATTTATTATAGAAGTTTTCCTTGTTTTGCTGTGTGTGTGCACCTCTTCAATGTTGTTTGATAAAATCTGTTCTGGTATCCAGTGTTTTGCCTTAGCATTACCATGAGACATTATTAGTACCTGTAGTGGCTGTGTAGTATATTGAACAGGCATCTTTCTTGCCTTCTTTTAGAGACCCTAAAAAAATTAAATCTCAACAAAAGTCTATGTATATTCCTTGTCCTAGTTTAGTTTTACAGTGAACTTGCACTGAGAATGCATAATAAATATGTATATTACACTAAATCCTAAAAAAACATTTTATTTATTTTTATTAATTATATTGGTACATTTAAGGTATACAATATAATGACATTCATCATTGGAAATTTGCACCTTTACACAATCCATTTTGATTCTTATTTTTTCCATTTTAAAGAGTGGAAAATAGTGGGTTTTTTCCTACTTTGCTCAACCTTCCAAGTAAGCTAGAAAAACGAACACTCTATCAGGAAGTGTCACTGTGCTTTTTCACTTATGTTATTATTTTGTGTCGGTTCTACCAAATCATTGTCAAAGTATCTTGCCCCTGACCTTATCCCATCCCTGTACACTTTGTGGATTATAAGTGATTTCCTCTGTGTCTTGGCTTTAAGAATGCAGACAAGGAGGGATGGGGAATGAATAGTAGAGAAGTTTATAAAACGTTACATTTTCAAGTGAAAAAAATATTTTGTTATTTACCTAAATGTGTATATTCAGTTAAGAAAATGACTGTGTTTCTTCTTAAACTTTCTCTTTGTAGAAGAAAAATTCAAGTGTGTGTGTGTGTGTGTGTGTGTGTGTGTGTGTGTGTTATAAACCATTATGAGTAGAAAGTGGTAAAATGTCGTCTGTGCATATTTTGTAAAGTGGAAAGTTAAAATCAAATATGCCCATTTTGCTTCACTTGTGCATTTCCTTTCTCAGAGTAGGAGAGATGTCTGGTGCATGGTTAGGAATAAGCAGTGCACACAAGGCCGGGTGGAGATAGCATACGGCCAGCTGCCCAGCTTTTCTCTAGGCAGACCGAGAGGAAATAACATTTATTGTTGCTGCAATTTATTTCATATTTATAAAGCATTTTCACATTCAAATGTCGAAGCATCGTCGAGATAGCCCACAAGGAAGACAGAACAAGGAGCAGTGGATTTTGAAGATGGGTAGAAAGAAACAATTCCCCCATAGCAACCTCCTCCACTCTCCTGCCCCAGCTTCCACAGCTGGCTTGGCCGACTGTGTGGCCTGGCCCAGTTCTTCTAGCCCTTTGATCCAGATTTATTTTCAATTTCCATAGACTTCTGTTTTCTTTCCCCTCATTTTGGCAAGGTTTATTTTAGAAAGCTCTATTAGAATTCACCTTTGCATTATAACACAAAATGTTGAGTTTGCAAAAAGCCCAACATGATCAATGATTATTAGAGGGTGGTATCGATCAGATGATGTTGGTGGCAAGCTGGTAATAGCTTTAGCAGTAGAAATAGTAGTTCTGATATTCCTCTGTCTCATTATTGTCACAAACATTTGAGGATAAACTGTGTGCCATGCACAATCGTATGAGGCATTATTCATTTAGTTCTTAAAATATCTTTTCACTTAAAAGATGAGAAAAGTGAAAGTCAGAGAAATTAATGCACTGGATCCTATCGTCCTGGTGGTCAAATCCAGGAGTAACCACAGCTCCCTGTCAAATATCACTAACCCCTCACGAGAAGTGCCGGTGAGGGCTGGGGATTTAGCTCAGTGGTTCTGGCTCCTGCCTTGCAAGCACAAGGTCCCGAGTTCGATCCCCAGTACCAGAAAAAAAAAAGAGAGAGAGAGAGAGAAATACAGGTGGAAACTTAACTGGTAATATGTATATTTTGGGTTAGTAACATAAGTAGTAATATGAAATTCCTTTTCTTTCATATCTTTTAAAAATTTTAAATCTCACCTCTGTTCCTTATTTGTGATTTTGTCAAAGATAATGAGTTCCTGAGTCTTATAGTACATCCACGTTTTCTGATCACAGCTGGAATTTCTGCTTTGAATTGATTTTCCTGGCCATGTAATGAAGTAGCACAGATGGAATTACTGCCTCTCTTTAGATCCCAGGAACTTGGAATTGAAAGACTGGAAATGTGTGGTCCAATTTCAAAGACTGGCAAATTAAGCAGCCAAACATTCATCTTGCATTTTAAAGAAGCAATGCTAAATTTTAAAAATTAAAGTAATTGTTGTATAGTCTATACAATATTTTCTCCATGCCCAAGCACTGGGCTCTGGGAAACATTTGATATTTTATGAATTACGAGGCTGTCATTGTAATGAGCAGCAGAGAAACAAACACCTCTGATACTGCCTCTTTAATGTTTTAGACTTGAAATGCAGGCTGGGTCCCCCCCAAATCCAAAAATAGCCTGCTGTCTAAATGATAGTCCTCCTTGGCAAAGGAAAGATCTTGATTTTTCACATCCTAGGCTTTGCATCACAATTTGATTTTATTTCAAATTTCTCCTCATAATTTTACCATGATAAGTTTGAAATGCAGTAATTCTTAAGATATAATGTCAGGTGCCTGCCCATAACTGCCCTAGTTTTTCTTTTATTGAACTCCAAAGTATTGGCCAAATAAATACTGTGATGTGCTGTATTTGTGCGGGAACATATTTTGTTGTGTGACTTCTAATTATTATTGTAGAAGATGCCAAAAATTGCCCAGAGAACTCAGAGAATGTAACCATGGCATGGCCCCTTTTTTTTTTTTTTTTTGGTGTATGTAGTTATTATGATAATTTAGACTTTAGACTTTCAGAATCAATTTCTGAGCTCAACCTCTCCTGTTTACTTCTTTATTCTCTGTAAGATGAATGCGATTCTAATCAATGCATATATATGTGTGCCCCTTAGTTATGACTGTCATCTACACTGGGCCAAAAAGTCCCGATGTCAGATTCCCTGAACAGTGCCTGATGTAGGATAGGCCCCATGTCTGTGACAGACCCACCACTCCCAGCACATACAGTTCACAGGAGCACGGGCATCCCCTAGGAGTGACTCGGAAATGCAGAATCTCAGGCCCTGTGCCAGGCCTGATATGTCATTGTCTGCATTTAGCAACATGTTCAGATCATTCATTCTTTGAAAGTCTGGAATGTATGTCAAAGCTCTGTCTCAAGTTTCCTTATTATTAATAATCAGCTTTAAAGTAAAAAGCCAATTTGCAACTCTCCAGCGGAGTCAGTATTATTTTTACTTTTTGACCCAGACAGTAAGGAAAGAGTAAATTAGTATCTTGTTCAAGTTCACTGATGTGCTACAATGCAGAGCTCTGTTCTAACCGTGTTTTCCTTGATGCCTAAATCCTTCTTCCTACACTGTGTATCAATCAGCATTTACTAGAGGAACAGATATAACATAAGATATATACATATATTTGAATTTACAAGATTGACTTACATGGCCGCCCACAGAGTCAGATGAGGGAGAGAGCAGAGGGTCTTTATGCACACTGGAGAGCGAAGGATTTAGTTGAAGGTCAGGAGCTCACTGCAGTCCCCTGTGAGTTTGTATCAGGAGGGCAATGGGTCTGCGCTAGAAGCCTAAGAGTCTGTGTTGGAAGCCAGGAGATGACGTCCAGGGTGAAGGTGAAGCCTGGAGCTCCTCCCAACAGAAGCAGATTCGTCCCTCCCCATTTCTCCTTTACACCATCCAGGTGAGGATCCACCGTAGGGCGTGGAATTGCTGAGCCGATTTAGCTAAGATTCTCTTAACCAACTTCTCAAGTTGACACAATCAATCAGCCATCACAGTCCAGCCCTTGTCAACTTGACAGTCAGACACATTTCTTTAAACCAGTCTCCAGATACAAAGACAAGCCCATAAATACACATAAATACACCTAACATGTTATACTATCCTACATACACACGGAAATTCACTAATTCCCTCCCCAGAATAGAAGGCAAGGGTTCTTTGGGTGATGCTTACTCTTATATTTTCATAACTTGATTATAACATTCGGTTTAACAATCCTTAAGGATCAGTATTAGGTCTATCAACATTATATTACATGAGAACCATATTGGAACAGAAATGGTAGAATTACAATCCTCGTTCTTATAGCTGATCACAGGGTCATAGCTGAAATTTAGAGCTACCTTCCTCTACTCTCCATTCTGTATTCCCTTGGCCTTCAGCAAGCACCTCAGCAGCTCTTAGTTCTTTACATGGGATGACCCATACCTTCATTCCTGAAGGGTCCCAACCATTTAACATCCTGCCTGGATTGGGTTGTTGTAGTTTCCTGATGATTTTAATAACAGGGCATGGTGATACCATGAGGTGCCCTAAGGAATCTCCGGCACTCCAGGTATGTTCTTCCTTCCTCCATTGTGGAGTAGAAGTCCAATTTCCCCTTGATAATCTGGGTCAGTCATCCCTGACAACACTGTGACTCCTTTTTAGCTTGTCTCCTCAGAGGCATGAGGAGACCATGCCCAGGGGGAAGTCTTTGCTTCCAATTCAATGGTATCATTTTTGTGCTTCCTGTTACAACCCTTTCCCCTTCTGGAACTAAGACTTCTAAGCCAGCAGAACATAATGTTTCAGGAACAGAAAGCAAATATTTTGCTAGTGGATCACTGAGGGTAATGGTGAGTGGTTCCATTCCCTCTTCTACCCCTTGATTCCTGGACCCCTGAATCCTGGCTATGGGAGACACAGTACCACATACTGGATGCTGATTCAAAGCATACACAGCCTTTGAAGAACCTTGCCCCATTCCTGCAAGCTGGTGCTGTAACTGTGTCTTCAAAAGACCATACCATCTTTTTGTCAATCCAGCCTCTTCCCGATGGTGAGGAACGTGGTAAGACCAGTACATTACACGAGTATGAGTCCATTGCCTCACTTCTTTGGTCATAAAATATGTTCTTTGGTCAGAGTCAATGGTATGTGGAATTCCGCAATGGTGGATTAAGCATTCTGTAAGTCCACAGATGGTAGTTTTGGCAGAAGCATTACATGTAGGGAAGACAAATCCATACCCAGAATAAATGTCTATGCCAGTGAGTACAAAGCACAGTCCCTTCCATGGTGGACATGGTCCAATATCTGCCACCAGGCCACAGGTGGATCATTCTGGGCAAGGGTGCCATATCAGGAGCTCAATGTTGATCTCGACTGCTGGCATACTGGTCATTCAGCAGCAGCTGTAGCAAGATCAGCCTTGGTGAGTGGGAGTCCATGTTACTGAGCCCATGCATAACCTCCACCCCTGCTACCATGGCCACTCTGTTCATGGGCCCATTGGGCAATGACAGGTGGGTGAAGAAAGAGACTGACCACTATCTATAGAAAGGGTCATCTTATCCTCTTGATTGTTACAGTCCTCTTCTGCTGAGGTCACTTTTTGGTGAGCATTTATATGTAAAACAAATATTTTCACATCCTTGGCCCACATAGAGAGGTCTATCCACATACCTCTTCCCTTGATAGATATCTTTGTTACCAATTTTCTAGTCATGTTCCTTCCAAGTTCCTGACCATCTGGCCAGACCATTGGCTACAGTCCATGAATCAGTATGCAGTTGCACATCTGGTCATTTCTCCTTCCAGGCAAAATGTACTACCATGCACTGCCCAAAGTTCTGCCCACTGTAACAATTTCCCTTCACCATTATCCACTGTCCTTCAGGGATATGCTGGAAAGGAACTGTATTGCTGCAGGTGTCCACTTGCAGGTGGTGCCAGCATAACGTGCAGAGCCATCCATAAACCAGGGCATAACTTCTCTTCCTCTGACAGCTGATCATATGGCATACCCCATGAGGCTAGGTGCACGCTGGGAAACAGAAGGCAGTTGAGCAGGTATAGGAGCAATAGGCATATGGGCATCTTCCTCATGTAATTTCCTTGTACCCTCTGGACCTGCTTTGGGGCTCCATCATGTATATACCATTTCCATGTAATGAAAGACTGTTGCTATGCATGTCCAAACTTAGAACTTGGTGGATCAGATAATACCCAGTTCATGATAGGCAATTCAGGTCGCTTGGTGACCTGGTTTCCCATGGTCAAGCATTCAGTTTCGACTAAGGCCCAGTAGCAGGCCAAGAGATGTTTTTCAAAGGGAGAGGAGTTATCTACAGATGATGGCAGACCCTTGCTCCAAAATCCTAAAGACTTCCACTGTGATTCACCAATGGGGGCTGCCAGAGACTCCCGACAGCATCCGTACCTGACACTGACCTTCATATATCATCAGATCTGCTGGATCATGTGGCTAGTGGCAGACCAGTCTGAACAGCAGCTTGGACCTGTTGCAGAATCTTTTCTTGTTCTGGGCCCCACTCCATACTAGCAGCTTTCCAAGTCACTCAGTGAATGGGCTGGAGTAAGACACCTAAGGGAGGAATGTGTTGCCTTCAGAATCCAAATAGGCCCACTAGGCATTGTGCCTCTTTTTTGGTTACAGGGGGAGCCAGATGCAACAACGTATGTGTGTGAACCTTTTCTGTCTTTTCAGGCTCCACTGGTGTGGCAGCACATGGCTGGTTTCTTTTTAAAAGAATGATAGAGTAATCCATGTCTACAAAGAGAGCAAGACATATGCACACAGACACACAGCCTTAATAAATATAACACACTGCTCTTCTTATACTCTGTCCTACCTCCGTCTTTATGTGTGCTGATTCTTGGATGTTTTCATACATTTTTTCATGTGGATACATAGTTGTTCTGAGAGTCTAAACAAATGCAGCGCTTGTTTTGTTTTGCTCATTGTTTCTTCAGTGTGGGAACAGAAGTGATGCACATGGATTAATGAGTGGTTGTGTGGAAGGGCTGTCTGTCTTTTTGGAATACTTTCTCTGATATTTAAGGGAACTGTCATGGAAGGTTAGCTTGGCTGTGGACCACAACCTAGTCTAATTTTAAAATGTGACTTTGTTACAGGGTACAAAATTATTTTAAAAGAATCAAAAAGTGGATGTCCCAAAATCCAATGGTTCTCGACAAGTCAGCATTTCCAGAGTTGGAGGAGTCCGATTGTTACACCGGCCCTTTCAGCAGAGCTCGGATTCACCAGTGAGTTCTGTCACTTTTTCCCACCTGCTGTCATCACTTGGGCTTTGTTTATAGAATAACAACACCTGGGGCCAATTTGATTGTTCAGCACTAGGTTACAGGATGTATCATTGTATTGAAATGTCTGCCTAACTTATGAACAACAATAAGCAACAATTATTCTCTATTAATTTTATAATGTAGAGACATTCCAGTAGCAAATATTTAATTATAAATCCACAGCTGGTAGTCTTCCTCTTACCTCTCAAAATTATTGAATGTTAGTAAGGCATTCAGTTAAAATAACAATAATGATAATAATAATAGACTTTCTATAAATAATAAATTGTTCTAATTAGTAAATTATTAAACACAAATATTGAAGTCAATTAATATACTCATTAATTAAACCATCCATTTTACTTTGAGCTTATTAAATAAAGGTGAGAACTTCCTTAGGGAATATTGCAAGACTTTCTGCTTAAATATTTATTTGTGTATTCATGTGTTCATTATTTATTCATGTATTTACTCAAATAGCTTTTACTGAGTTTGTATGTGACACTGAGGATTTAAAGGAGGTTGTGATGCAGTTTCTGTTTTTGTCATGCTCATGTAATGTAGTGTGGGGCCCAGGCTACAGGTCCTGCTCATTCCAACCTGATTAGCTTGTTTTTGGCAATGTGGAAGTTGAGGAAAGGATGGAACAATTCCAGACCACCAAACCTGTGATGCAGCCAGCCATCCTGGAAACCCTTCCCTTCCAAGTAGTATCTTTACTCCATTGCTAATTCTTGGCAGTGCAGCTAGAAGCAACCTTTCTATCTGCTCCCATCCAACATCATTTCGGAGAGGCTTTCTATGAAAATTACACCATCATTCCCTCCCCCAGTCATTCTCTACGCTTCTATGCTATTTCAATTTTCTTCATGGCAATTATCTTGAATTTGACTTTTTCCTGGCTAGTATCATCTGTTTCTTGCCTACATACTGAACTCCATGAAAAAATCAAGTTCTCTGCTTATGAAACATTTGTTCAGATGTACCAACTCAGCCTGATGGTGACAGGAACATCGGAGTGGTGGGATTTCCTCTGCCACCACAGCTCCAGGATGCTGACTCTGTTGATCAGAGTGTAGAGATGAAGCACAGAGTATCAGAGTCCTGAGGAACTTAGGTGCCAAGATAATGCACAGCTGTGCAGATCAAATACAACAAGGCTGAGTAAAATCAATGTGTTATGAAAGACACAAGCAAAATCCATGTTTTGCGAAACAAAAACAAAGCAAAGGAGGGCCACATTTGGAGGAGAGGCTCAGGGGAGCCTTTCTCAAGGAGAGAGCCCCTTACAGCATGGAAGAAGTAGGCAGGGAAGAGGGGAGAGGCGGGGTGGTGGTTGGGGAATACTAAGGAGAGCAAAATCTACCGCAAAAGAACTAGGGATTTGAATGTGATAGAAAATCACACAACTTGACAGATGACCGGATACAAGAAGCCAAAGCTATAAGAAAGGATCAAAGGCTTAATTTGAGTACAAGTATAGACAGACTTTGGAGAAATGAGAAATTTAACTGTGCTAGTAATGGAGAGCAGTCAGTGGACATGCTCAAAGTGGAGCCGAGCTGTTAGGGTCAGAGCAGTGCTTCAGAAGCCAGGAGGATTCAGTGGTGAGCTAAGAAGAGCCCTGCCGTGGTCCACCCAAGAGACCATGACATGCAGGACAGATAAGCCGGTGAGTCCCACAGGCACCTCTGTCTGGACACTGTGAATACAGAGAGTGAAGAGGAATCAAGGGTGAAATAGGAAGGCTCAGATTTGAGCAAATGAGACCTAGTATATTCTTCTTTCCCCTCTCACCCTTCTTTCCTTCCTTCCTTTCTTTTGGAGGCTGCAGTACACCATAAAATAAATGCTAAGACAGCCCTCCTCTCCTTTGCTCTTTGCATCTTCCTCTCATGGTCCCTCCTGCTTATCTTCACATATGATAACAGTGTAGGACACGGAGGGGGACAGCAAACTCCTGCTCATTGCTAAATTCTAAGAACCAGCTGAGCTGGACTGGAAACTGTGACATGGAGGAATAATATCAACTTTTAATGCATTCTATTTGGAACTGCATTGCTTTAGTAGTGCAAAATTTATGTGAACCAGTGGGCAATCTGTTCTCCCCTTGTTCCATGCTAAATAAAAAAAAAGAAGGCACTTAAACTTCCCTATAAACTCAAAGAAGATAGCAACATGAATATTTGATGATCCCTTGCATTTTGTGTGAAGTCTTTTTTACCCTTTTTCAATTGGTTTTTTAAGAGAAGGATTTCTCTTTGGAATCACTATTCTTTACAGGTGTTAGCTTTAATGGAGAAAAGAGATGGATGGTTTCCCAGGGACTTGGAACTGCAGCTGGTCTCTGTGCTCTGCTCGGAAGGGTAAAAACCACCCCTTTATTTTCACAGCTTCATAATAAATAATAAGGACACCTTCTTCAGCAATGCTACCCGCAGCAGGATAGTCTACCACATGCTGGAGCGCACCAAATACGAAAATGGGATATCCAAAGTGGGTAAGAATGTTACCTTAAATTGGATGTAAACTTGGTATGAGTTACACCCCAAATCACCATGGGGGTTTTTGAACAACTAAAGCTTCATCTGCATTAAATACAAGTATATAACACTCGGAACACCAATCATATAAACTTCCTATTTTGTAACTTTTCAAATAAACGAAAAACCACTTTGGAAGAGATTTGTCCAAAAGAAGTATCAATATGTAACATGTGCACATTCTTTAGAACAAAAAATTGTTTTTTGAAACGTGTCTTAAAGCACAATCAGAATTTTGAATGACAATATAGACAGAGGATTGTTCATCACTTCTTTACAGTAGAATAAAACTAACAATGCCTAAAATGTCCATCACTGTGGACTGACCAGTAAGTTAAATACCACCTATGTAGAGCATTCACTAGAAGTTGTTGTATTTATTCACTCTTCTCATAACAGTTACTGAGCATGAATTATGTGCTATATATTACACAAAGGGTGTGCACAAACTCTACTCATAGAGATTAAAAATGAGGTACTAGTTCTCTATTTATTTACTTTGCAAGACACCCATAAGGCGTTATTAGGTGAGAAAAAGCATATTATGGAGCTCTAAGTCTTATGTAATTCTGTTTCCTAAATACACATGTATGAAAAGAAAGAAAAGTCTAGGAAAATATGTTTTTAAAAACCCATAGAGACTATCTCTGGCCGGTAAAATAACAGCTACTTTTAATTTTCTAAATTTCTGTGTTTTTTGAGTATTAACCTGTCTGGTATAACACATATAATACAAAGGAAAATTGCATATCTTACCTAGGAAAAGTAAATTAAATTGCAAAGTTTACTTACAGCTGAGAAACAAAACAACAGGTAAGAATCTGCCCCTTTAACTATAAGGCTGAAAACTGTAACACTGGAGACATCAAATGTTAGTGAAATGTCCTGATGTCCTTGAAGTTAAAAAATTCACAGTTACTGAAAATGTGTACCAGCCTCCGATGATTGTATTGAATGGAGCACCACATGGGTAAAATGGATTGTTTCTGCTTTTTAAATTGTTTCTACTTTAGCCTCTGGTTCTCCTCTGATTAACAACTTATTAATGACTGAGCAGTCAAAATAATTAGACAACAGAACTTTACCAGAACTGGGAAATTCACCACCAAATTTTCTAAAAAATTGAGAAATCCAGAATATGAGTTTAAAATCTGTCACTGGAGAGCACTATATGTTTAAATAGGCTTAAAATATTTTAAATGATTATGAAGGTATTGTGCACTTTGTAGAATGTACAGTAACAGAGGAGAATAAAAATGAAATAAATGATCCCTTAGTAGTATAAACCCAGAAGGGTTAAAAATTATCTCTAAGTGCAATTTTCACTGTTACAAATTTGTATGAAATATATGAAAATATGTGTATTGGTACTAAATATATAAAATTATACATGTGTTTAGAAAGATACAAACAAGCATTATTTACATTATTCTGTCTTTTAAAAGTTGCCTTTATGAATATTTTCTTAAACTCTGAGTACTGTTTGGCAACATTGCTATAAATACGTGGTCAATATTCGACAATAAACATTCATTAAATCACAATTATTTAAACACCTAAAATAAATGATTGCACCATAATAATTAAAGGACTCCAGTTTTGGGTGTCCAATTGTTTCTAATTCTTTATTAATATAACTAACACTGCCACAGAAACTGCTGTCTCAGAGCGCTTTCTCACCAGCTCCAGGTGCAGTGTCCACTGAGCTGACCCCTAGCAGAGACACAGCGGATGTTGGATTTCTCACGCTGTTATTTGTGTCCTCCTGGCTCGGTATAAACAAATAGACTCCTCAGTACAGTAACAATTTGAGATATGTTTGGGGAGGGTGCAGAATTCCTTTTCTTCCTTTTGAACAAAGTGTATTGTTTTGAAGAAGAAAAAAAAGTTGTCCCTGGTTCATGTGAACCCAAATGAGCAGGTAATGAAATACCTCCCATGTCATGAGGGGGCCAAGTGGAGCCATGTTGGTATCCTGTGGTTCATCTCCAGTAGCCGTCACTGTAGGGCACCAGAAGACACACCAGCAGTCTCCTCCACAATCGTGCTGTACTTGGGGTGATTGTTGCTGTGGAGGACATTCAAGTTATTTCACATTTTCCATTAATTCTTTGTCCCGAGGATATATATGTGCTACAGAGGGAATCCTTCACTGAAGCTAACTCTAGTTTTATTTTGCTGTTCTTTTTCCAGGTATCCGTAAACTTATAAACAATGGCTCGTATATAGCAGCATTTCCCCCACATGAGGTAATTTGGAAAGGCAGTTTCTCTTTTTAGTTTTTTAAATTTATCATGTCAATGCTTGATCCTGTGTTCTTTATAGTTAAATCTGACTACACACCTCCGCAGGGGGCCTGAGACCAGCTGAGACATCACTACCAATTTTCCATGCTTATATTCTTTTACATCTGTCTACAAAAGAATAGAAATAATAATAACAGACACTTTGCATGATTCACAAGCTAGGTTCAACCATGTGTTTTTCCATTATTCTGCCAATAACACTGGGGAGATAAATGCTATTATCCCAATTTCAGATCTAAACAAAGCTGAGAGAAAACAAATAGGATATCAGATATCCCAAAGTTAGTGCTAATTCAGAGAAGCAAATTAAGGCCCTGAGAGGGCCTTTGTAGAAGAGGAAGGTTCGGTTTCTTCTCTATGCAGTAATTTTCTCTACATAATTAGGCTGTGTCCTGGCAGTTCATTTGACATTTTTTGTGTGTGAAACTTGAGACCTATTACAATTGAGTTATAAATAATGTTCATTTTTCCATTTATGCGAATAGTGTAGTTGAAATACTAACATATGGAATATACATATAGCAGTACTATATGTGCAATGCAAACAAACAGAGTAGAAAGCAATATTTTTGAAATACAAAGAAGTAAACAAAGTTGAAAGTGAACAAAATGGGTTCGGGCTTTTCTCATGATTTTAAGTACACTGAGGGACAAAAAGCAAGGCTTACTAAGAAGAAAACTAGGTCCACATTATGCCCATGGCCTGATTATCACGACTTCCTGGTTCACAACTTTCTTCTTCATTGCTGCAGGAGAGGAGTGTGCATCTCATATTTTTACCACTAGCTGAGATTTAAGGATAATACCTAGCACGGGGGGAAGAGGAAACCATTTGCTGAGGATGTCACTAGACTCTGTAATTCTCTTAGTATGGAAAAGGGAAGTGTGTTTGCTGGAGGAGGGGCCCTCAGGGGGCCTGGTGCTCACTGAATATGCATGAGCCACAGGAAGGACAGGAATCCACAAGTGCACAAGAGTGATTGCTTCAGTTCTCTCCTTGGTGCACTGCATCTAACTGTCAAGCCAGAACAGGGAGTTTAACTGAGGCGGAGCAGCAGAGTTAGTACAATGATTCACAAAGTATGCTGCAGCTCAGTGTCAAAACCAAGAAAATAGCTATCCTGTGAGCACTAAGGCTGTTGTCTTGGTCACAGAACACTTTGAGGACAGAACACCTGACTTGCACAACTTAAAAGAGAAAGGGCTTCTTTTGGCTCATGGTTTCAGAGGTTATGGTCCATGGTTGACCATCTCCCAGCAGGAACGGCAGGGCAGCAGGACATGGTGGAGCAAAGCAGAGAGGGCAGAGTGAGTCACACTGCAGACTCACCTCAAAGCTCCCCAGCAGCCCACCTCCCTCGACTCTGCCCACCTCCGACAGCCCACAGAGCCCTAAACTCACTAGCGGGTAGTGCAGCAGTCAGGCTGGTGCTCCTGGGGCCCAGACTCTTCCCCGGGCCTTTGGGACAGGGCTGCTGCCCCGAGGGACGAGTCCTCCATGGGTTGCTCCAAGAGTTGCTGTAGTCAGCTTCAAATTTATCCACAGCAACTGGGAAGGAGAGTTATGCACCTCTGAAGAATTACCAGCAGTAATGGAAAGATAGCTGAGATTTTGTTTCATTCTCCTTTACCTAGCAAATCTCAGGACAGTCTGCTCTAACAGTCTAACTCACAGCCGTGGTTGTCTGGAAATATTAGCCCTATAAACTCCAACTCCCTCTGACAGATTTTTGGGAGAAGACATAACAAACTTTTTAAATACTTCAAATCTGGAAGTCTTATCTGAAGTAGAATTTTAGATCTCTTGGGTTCTAAGACATGACTAACCCTGGGGTGCAAGCCCATCCTCTTCACATGAGCACTTCTTCTCTTTCTTAGCTACGGTAAAGAAAATGAAAATTCCTTCGACTTTATCACATTTTACAGCATAGTAATACTCTCAGGTTCTGAACTAAAGATCACAGCCATTTCTCTCATCAGTGGTGAAGATATTGTGTTTATTAAAAGGCCACAGATTCCAAACAGTGACACTTGAAATCTGATTTGCTTCACGTGAAAGAGAACTCAGTTGTTTACAAAAGTGACCCTGAATGGATGCACCTGGGAAATACAGTGTTGAATGAAACAAATCAGACACACGGCTAAATTACTGTATGGTAACCGTCATTTGACAAAGGCAAAATACAAACAAGAGCCAAATAAAATGCGGTGAGAAGGACACGGGAAAAGATCTCTTGCAAATGGAAAGGGTCCAGGAGACTGAGGCAGGGTGAGGGGAGTAGGAAGAGTTAAAATACGTGACGCGCAGGTACCCATTGCTCAAAATGAGTGTACACATTGTCATCAACACGACCTAAGAGTAATAGTAACAGCAAGATGAAAATGGAAAGAGATTTAGACGCAGAAGGAGAGAAATGGGTGGAGAAGGGAATTAAAAAAGGAATGAGTTATGTCCATGTACCCATCCCCAAAACAAACGTAGACTTCATGAACTGCAAACATGTACTACTGCAGTAAAAGTAAAAATTTAAAAAACCATAAATGATATTTAAGGCACTCTCAGAATATTTCCAGCAAAGCAGGCAGGCATCTGCCACACCATTGCAGTGTTGAGCTTCCATTTTTGACCTCTGGAGCTCTCCATGAATTGCTGAATTATTCTCCAAGGAGCGAAATTGTTCTGGTTTAGTTCTGATCTCACAAGGAGAGGAGAGCAAGCACATAGCGATTGCTGTTGTCTTGTGTGTTCCAGGGCGCCTACAAGAGCAGCCTGCCCATCAGAACCCACGGGCCCCAAAACAACAGGCACCTGCTGTACGAGCGCTGGGCGTGCTGGGGCATGTGGTACAAGCATCAGCCGCTGGACTTGATCAGGTTCTGCACACGGGCCGAGTTGTGGCCGCAGTCATACACTTCCTTGTGTCGTGCACCTCCCACCTTGTACCGGGGAGTGGGTGACAAGGAGAGGAGAAACCACGAGCGACTTTTCCACAAAAAAACCCTGATGCAGGGAGTTTGTTATGCGGGGAACGGGAGAGCTGAGAAATTAAACGTAGCTTTCTAAATCGAGCAGGGCTCGGCAGCAGCGGAAATATACCAACACCCCGAGGGAGAAAGGGAGACAGACAGGACACAGTGTACCGCCAGAGCCCAGGGCCTGAGTCTCAGCTCTGAGACACAGCCCCGGGAGTTTCCAAGAGGAGGAACAGGGCCTGAATTATTCCTTCCTGCGCTTTCAGGTCTGCCCGCACCCCTGGTCCAACGCCACCCTGAGCAGGTTCCCAGGGAACCAGGTGACCCGCTGTTCTGTACAAATCCAAAGGCCCCAGGCAAGAAGGAGGGCACGAAGCAGTGTAGATGGCCCCTCAACACCCCCCCTTGTCTCTAGGAACTTCCTTGTTACCAAAATTGAGATGGTGATGAGGAGGATTCATACTACACAATCTCAGCTGTAGAGTTTTGTGCAACGGCCAGGTTTTTATTTAATAACCAGCCAGCAGCCTTAAAATCTTTGACTTTGTAATAATTGAAAATTAAGTTGTTCTTAAGAGAGCACAATTTTGAGGATGTGGTTCTCTCTTTGTGTTGCTTCCTCTCTGTCATGAGAGGAAGTGGTGTTCTGGACTTGGGCATTTCATATCCCTTGGCCGTGGGTGATGGAGAACCACAGGTAAAGCCCATCTGGCTGCTCGGCGAGGCAGCTGATCAGTAGTGGATGGAAAACAAAGGGTCCGTTCTTGGCCCTCTTTGCAAAAGTCATTTCTGGACATGTTTGTGTTGTTTTCTCATTTTAAAAGCAGAATTCAAACATTCAATAGCCAAAGCTTATTGAGTTTCAATCTACTTTCCCCTGGAAAATATTTGAAACTAGAGAGAGTACATTTTATAATCATTAGCTACAAAACCCGCTTAACAAAATAGTTATGTGACATTTTAAAAAGTATTTCACAGTAGGCATCAGAAGAATTTAAAGTTTCAACCAGAATGGCTGAATTAAATAACTCTCTCTACAACACTAGATTTCGATGTTTGTTGATTTTATGATGACATCACCAGCAGAACAGGTTACCAAGTGCAACATCACAGGGAACAACATTAAATCACAGCAGTACCTTGGTGCATAGGTTCATCAAGGCTTTTGTTTGCGAACAATATGGTTCACAACCAGAAGTGTTTGGCAAAATTTCACTTCTGTTTGAGAGCTCTGCATCGAGTAATGAACACAGCCATGGTCATTTTCCCCAGAATCGTGGAATGAACTGCGTTTGTGAACCGAGGTACCCCTGTGTGTAAAGAGGGAGGTGGTGGAGAAATGCAGGGGTTTGTCATGGTTTTGAAATAGTCCAAGTAGCGCTGAGAGAGTGTAGAAGACTATGACCTAGCACTCCAGGTCAGGATGATTCCTATCCATCTCTCTTTGCCTGGGACCGGTCCCTGCCTGTTTGACACAGATCTGAAATCTGTCTTACCTTAGCTGATCATGCTTCACGTTAGTAATATTGTGGCTCCCCTCAACCTTCAACAGGGTGGAGTTTAAATTTATTGCAATCTTCTCTAAATGAGTAGGCCTCTCTCTGGGCCTCCGTCATCGTTGCTATGAGGAGATCCCCGTTGTGTTTACAACGGGCTCTAAAATTCCCCCACACCACCTGGGAACACTTGTGTAAAGAAAAAGTGGCTTTAATTAGTGTTATAAACTTATATTTTAATAATTTATGTAATAACCAAGTTTCAAAGTGGAACACTATCATTCCATGATAAATGAAATGACTGGGGTTTCTTAGAATAACTAAATAAAAGGAAAAAAATAGATAAATGATGCTTAAGGGAGGTTGAGTCCAAGCCCTTACCTGATGAAATTTACACAAAATTTAATTGGCACAACACAGAGCATGAAGTTGAAAGAGTATTTTTCAGAAAGAAAAAACTGTGGATGAAAAAATGACAGAAGAATTTTCTTCATAGCAAGAACAGTTTCTAGGGCCAGGGATTTAGCTCAGTGGTTTCACCGCCTGCTGCGCAAGCACAAGGACCCGAGTTTGATCCCTGGTACCAAAAAAAAAAAA